ATGATTTCCAGTTACACAAGCTTTATGGCCAAACAAGCTCTGAGTTCCGGGAAATGGCACATTCGAGTCCCAGTAATATCCTTTCTCGGAAGGGTATCGCTAACCCACACATTTGCATGCATGCATTTGAAAATTTGAGTGCTGCTTGCGACATGTTCTTGGGCTGTTGTTGTCGTTTCCATTGCCGCTGCATTTTTTTCCCGCCTGCATTGTTGACAGGCGTTAAAATTTGACATACACATGCAGTGTGTCCCTATCAGGATGTGTGTGGATGTGGATGTGGATGTGTGTGTGAGCTAGGACATTGTTTGAATTGCCCGTCGAGGTTAAGCTGTAACATTTAAAGTGTTGTCGGTTCCGTTTGCCGTTTGCCATTGTAGTTGCATGTTGCATGTTGCTGCCGTAGATGTTGCTGCTGCTGCAGCTGCAACTGCTGGTGTTTAGCTCAAGTGCACTTTGGGCTTTTCCCTTTCTGGCCTCAGAAGTTGACATTCCTATTCCTGCCGCCATTCCGAGAAGGTTCTGACGGGCACTTGGCAAAAGTTTTGAATAATATTTCGCTTGCACAACTAATCAAGGCATTAATTTCTCGGGGCATTTAGGGGTTAACCAGTGCCATGTCACACTTCCATCAGAGATTGTCGCCTAAGCTTAAGCTGACATGGTGTCATGGGTCAAGTGGTCAGGCCTCTGGCTCCTCCTCGGACCCCAAAGACCCTGCAACCCCGGCTTGTCCCTGCAACTGAGGGAGGAGGGGAGGCCGAGTCCATTTTCATTGTCTAAGCATTTAGGACCTCGGCTTATTAGACATTGTGGCCCTCGCTGGCTCACAACCTGCACAAAGGATCGCAGCCACAAAGGACATTCCCGGCTATCTACAGAGGGCACAGATGTGTAGTTGTAGGCGTGTGCCATTAGCCATAATGCATACTCCATTATGTCGGCATTGTTTGAGTTTTTGCGCCCCCCATTCTGTTTTCCTTGGGCGTGTGCAATGTCCCAGGGAGTGGGTACACGGAAAGAAATGTTACAATGGGAAATTATACATTTATTTAAGGTTTAGAAATCACAGAAATATTAAGGTTTTCGAAATCACTTTTTAAGGCGCCTAAAAGTAGGCAACAAAATAATAAAAGTTATTTTGGTTATTTTGGTAATAAGTCCCTAGAATTTTTGGGTCTAAAATATATTGCTGCATAATTTTTCATATCAATGGAAATTTCTATATCTATTGGGTTCCAAAAAAGTTGATATACCGAATTGAAATCACTTTCTAGGACACCTGTATGCAATGAAAAAGGATTTTTGTTTATAAATAAGAATCCTTAAATCCTCCGGCTTTAAAATGTATTGCTGCATTATTTTACAAAACAATGGTATTTCGTTAATCTATTCAGGTGTAGAACATTTCTATGGTCTGAAATCACTATGGTAGACGCTTAAAAGTATGCAGTAAAAAAAGAAAATTAGTTTTTCGGATTTATACAAGAAACTTCCAGATTAAAACTAAATTCCCTGTTATGTATCTGTCTTTCTTGCTTAATCACATTTTTAAATCACCATAATTGCTTTTATAATATGGTATTTTGAGTGGCAGGTCCAAAGTCCAAAGCCATCTGGCTGTCAGTCAGACTCAGTTTCAGTTTCAGGTCCACAGCAAAGTTAATGACAACTTGCATAAGAACACTTCACCCCGCCACAGAGACGCAGACTGAGACAGAGGGTTACAGACAGCTGCCGAGTGTCCTGCACACATGAATGTTTCAGCATCTAGCCAGGAGTCCTTGGCCATTGGCCATTGGCCATTGGAATTCCTGTTGCAATTTCCCCCAGCCCCTTTACCACTGCCCCCCATCAGATATGAATATTTCATGTAGCCCTCACTGACTGGCCGGCTGACTGCATTCGATATGCTCTATATGCAACCGAAAATGGTAAGACAATTATGGCAATGGATTTTAACACTTTCGAGTCAGGAAATATTAAGGACTGTGTGTCGGATGTTGGATATTTTGTTGTGCTATTGAAGGGCTTACAAAATTCATGGGAATACCAATTAAAGGAGGGTTACCTAAGAATGTAATGTGGGGAGTTCCCCCTTCGGAAAAGGCTTAAATGAATTATGAACCCGGTTTTAGTGGATAGCAGCTCATTACCAACTTGGCAATCGAGCTGAAATTGGAAAGTTTTCAAAGTTACCCAAGTGGGAGAGGAGGGTTGGAGGACTTCCAGGACATCCGCCCCCGGACAGGAACTGTAATTTCTTATTTTGCCTGCTGCGAATTGAAGGATTTATCTTTATTTTTTATACCCCGGTACCAGTACAATTCCCCCTTTTTGCTCCCCCAAGCCGCATTGTTGTGCATTGGGCCGCAGCTGGTCTGCCATTAAATCAACAATGGCCGCCCGTACACGTGCTCGTCCTTCTCAACGGGTATACATGTGTGTGTGTGCGTATGTATGTCCTGTCAGCATGTGCGTGTGTGTGTGTGGGGGGGCTTTGCTGTATTAGTTTCCCTTTTGTATGATTTTTCATTTGAGTTAAGACCACCTCCCTTCGAGCCCCACGGCCTGGGCATATTTGTGCGTATTGCAAGTGAAATTCTCTGCTGCTTATTGTTATTGCCCCGGGAACATGGAAAACGATTGAGCAGGGGTGTGGGATGAAAAAGGGGGATAAAATGGAAGGGAAAATCGGGGGGTAAAGGGCACACAGGACATCCCGAACACAGAGCTCGGCGCACAGGACACGCAGCAATTGAGAGTTGTTGATTGTTGCATATTACTCACGGCCCCAAAGTTCAAAGGGTCATCCTGATTCCGACTCTGAATTTGTTCTCAGCTCGGCAATAATAAAAAACAAAAAAAAAAGAAGGAATTTCCGGTGCATACTCCAGGGAATAATGCTGGTATTGTTCAACCCACGAGTAGTCGGATTATTCGGACTTAAACCGATGTTTAAAATTTCACTAAGAAGCTTACAACAACGGCTGTGTCTGACCTTTCCAATTGGATGGTTTTCTTTCGGGAATTTATTTCTTATCCAATTATCAATTAAATGAAACGTATATATCAACAGTTTTGCAATAAGAGAGGTATATTTCCTTGTATGTTGCAAATTGTTTTATAGACCAGATGACATTCATTTAAGGCCTTATGCAACTTGCTTTATTTTTGACTAGTTTACTTGATATATCATAAAAATCCCTTATGAATTTATGGGTGTATTGAAATAAGAAATCAAATTTAGCATGTATCTAAGTCGAGAGTTAAGCAAGTGTCATAAGACCATAGACTGATAATGGAATTCCTACTTACAAGAAAGTAGATAAAATTGGATGAACCAAGGTATAATAAAATATGGGTTCGGAAACGAAAATTATCCCACAATAATCCATTTGGATTAGAATGAAAATTGCAGTAAAGCATCTTGGCATCACCTTAAATTGGATAATATCCAGCTTACTCGCTGCAGGCCATAAAAAGCATCTTCATCGGATGTGCAATATGAGGCGGATGCCAACAATCGGGATAAAATAATTTTTCCTGCCAGGCTCATAAATATTCATGCTATAACCGGAAAACGATTAAATCGCGAAAGGTTTTAAGCTCCCGCTGCAACTTCGCAGAGCTCCGGTTTTTTGCTCCTGCTGCAGGAGTACTCCAATATTGATAGTGAATGCCGTAAAGTGTTCTACGGAAACTCTGCAGCCACGCGTACTCGCTTTTCCCGCCCACTTTTCCGAAACCCCTATAAACCCCCCCTCCCAACAGCTTTGCCCACCGCCTTGAGTTTTATGCAAGCATGTGGAAAATTCCAACGAAGTGCGGTCATTTTAATAACAAAAAACATCAGCTCTTTATGCACTCAATGCTCCTGTTTTTTTTTCGCTGTTCGCTGCTTTGGCTTCTATTTACTTGTTTTTTTTTGTTTTTTGCATTTTATGACTTTTGCTGTTGTTGTTAGCCGAGCAAAACTTTTCCAATATACCAGTGTGCTTTTTGTTTTTCCTGCTGCATATTGTTGTTGCTCCCCGTTGGTTTGGTTTTCCCCTGTGAGTGTGTAAGTGTGTGTGTGGGTGTGTGGGTGGGTGGGCCAGTGGGTGGTTGTTGGGTGGCCTGTGTGTTTGCGTGGCTATCACAGTCGGTTGGTTTAATTTTTAAATCACACAAGACAGTTAATTGATGGAGGGAAAAGCGGTGTTAGGAATGGGGAATACCAATAAATATGAATGAACTTGCAGTACAGATTACTTTGCCCTTGCATCTGGTTGGAATAAATGATCGAATCAAGCTTTAAAAGTTTTTTAAACCTAAGGTTATCTTTAGTATCTGCTTAGCACTTTCCCATTTAAAGATTAAATGTCGCATAAAATCTAGACTGCAAATCTCTGGATAAGTGTTATCTTCAATTGTCAGTCTTAAATCTTGGTTGCTAGCTCTTAAATAAGTCGTTTTCTAGATCTTAAAGTTTTATTATTCTGAATTTACTGTCTCTTTTATGTCATTTTCATATGCGGTGTCTTCTAAGTGGCAAGCTGAGAATAAGATATTATCATTATTTTAAATGGTGGAAAGAAAATGATTTTAAAGATAGGAAGATGGTCGATTATAACTAATATCCACAGATTTTTCTACCAAAGTATCAATAGTACTGCTTCCAATTTCTATGGAAAATACATCTGTTCTTAGAAAGATGAAGGATTATGTATTCTATTTTACTAAGAGAAATAGCTTTTTTTTGGTATCCAATGATTCCGGATTAACCATACAGTGTTTCAAGAAATAATCTTTATTATATTATTATAATTACAATACCTCTGTCCCTTAAAACAATTTTGAAATAGTATAATATTGTACAAAATAGAAGAGTTCCAAAAAGATGTGTCCTTTTTTAACTAGAGAATTGCGTATTTGATAATGTTCCCATTTCGCCAAGATAACTTTCCCCTATAAACAAGATTACTAAACTCCAATTCCCACCCCTCTTTCCTTCACAGGGTCAGTGCTCGGCTGGAACACTGCCCATGGCCTGGGTCGATGAGGGACCCGGGCCCCCAATCTGCCCCCGATCCTGCGCCGAGCAGCAGCAACTGAAGCCAGCGGCCTCCAAGGCGAAGCGGAGTGCCACCAGTAACAATAAAGTCAAGTATTTCGTAAACTATAAGACAGCCCAGATGCGTTTGCGCCGCGGTGGGGACTACGCGATGGACGCCACCGAGAGCAATTCCCCGCTGCCGCCGGGCACCAGTAGCAGTAGCGGCAGCAGCAGCACCATCACCACCACCGACGACCAGGACGTGGACGAGGATGTGTCCTCCACCACCACCACCACCGAGGAGGCGGTGCCGGAGCCAACGCTGTCCTACAGCCATCTGCATGCCCAGGAGCCGCTCCAGGAGCCGGTGGAGGAGGAGCAACAACAGTGCCTTGAATATCTGGGCGATTCCGCCGAGTCGAGTCCGCAGCACCTGTGCGGCCTCCAGTCACCTGGCCATCTGCTGGAGCGGCTGAGGGTGCTGCGGCTGCGCAACTGCTGCGAGAGGAGCGTCTTCAGTGCCCTCCACACGTTGGCCCTAAATGCCAGCCTCTCGGACCGGCAGGAGTGCTTCCGCGTCCTCAGCGATCTGCTGGACGTGGACAACCTGGCCAACAGGATCACCTGCGAGCTGGCCGAGATCCTCTTCCGCTTCGACTGCCGGCAGGTCTACTCGCTGATCAATCAGTGCGACGATTGCAAGGTGAGTTTGGTTTACTTACTTTCCGCCCCTTAAACTCCTTGACCCTTAACCCATCTAATCCCCGAACTTCCATCACGCCCCATTTCGAACCACCCCTTTAACCCAATTAAGCCCAAACCTCATTCGCTTTCCACTTTGGGCCAGGCCGAAACCATTCCGCACCGCGTGACATTTTTAGCTGCTCATTAATTATTAAAGTTGAGCTGCGAAAAAAGGGAAAAACTGAGAACAAAACCAAACGAGAAAGGCCCTAAAACAGCGGTTGTGCACTGAGAGAAAAAAGGGGGAAATTAAAAATTGTACAATTATTAGTTAAGAATTTTATTTTTTGATCTGCAAGTAACAGTAATTTTATTATTTTAATAAGGAAGAAATGGAATAACAGTTATAGGAAGGTTTATATTTTTCGATTGGAGAATAAAAGTTGTTTTCTAACCTTTCTGTATGTAAAAGTCGCAAGATAATCCTAGTTTTTCTACCAATTTCATAAAGTTAAAGTTAGTTAAATGCGGGAATATAAAGTCGATTAAAAGAAGCTTTCGTTTTTACCTATTATGTTAGTTTTATATAATCCTAAGTGTGATTTTTAAGATATCGAAATTAAAAAACTCCCATTTTTGGTGCCTGGTATTTATATTTTTGAATACTTAACCATATAACTTGTATATATTTTGTCATGGCTATTATATTATAGGGGGAAAGGTGTTTTCTTAGAAACATGAAATGAAATGTGTAAAGTTGTAATGTTTTTGGTAACAGGCAAGAATATAAAGTAGAATTCAGAGTAATTTTTTGTTTCAGTGCTTGACCAAGGGACCAGAGCTAAGCTCTTAAGGTCTATGAGTTTATCTATTTGTCAGGGGTTCTCCAACCCCACATTCTCCGAGTGAAGACCTCCCAAGGCAAAGCAAATGTCAGAAATAGTAAGCTTTAATCCTCGTAGGGCAAAACCTTCTTTGCATTTAAAATGGCCAGTCCTGCCATCTGCTATTCTCTCAGTGCAGAACTCATTGAGGGCTCACGCCGCTTTTGGCCCATAACCGAGTCAGGACAGGACAGGACTCTTCGGCCAAGGATTCATATTTCAGACTCGTAATTATGGGCCAGGATGGCGGGACGCAGGACTTCGCGCTTGCGGTTAATTTGTGGCACTTAAGCTCGCCTGCAGTTTGGTCCATTTCGGCCACATAACAACACCAGATTTTCAGGTTTTCAGATTTCGGTTGCATATTTGATGTCTGTTCCATATAATTGGTAATTATTCGTCGAGTGCCGGCCAGAGATTCCTTGCCTTAACCTGAAAACCTGAAATGAAATCGCTGAAGGGGCGAATGGGGCTGAGGGGGCGGGGCTGGCGAAAAGCTGGCTCTGCTAAAACAATGACTACGCTAATGAGGGTCTCTGTGGGTAAAGGAAAAACCTTTTGAATACTGCAAAATCTCTGAGAGAGCAGTGGCGAATGGAGGCAGTAAAAAAAAAAAATAAACTGAAAACAGAAAACAGAAATGTGAATTGCGCTGATTAACAAAACTTGAGGCAAATGCTAAGCAGACGGCAACAAAACAACAACAACAACAACAACTGGGGCCAAAAATACACAAGATGTGAGTGGAGAAATGGGGGGGGGACTGGGGGATGGGCTCAGGTGGGTGGTGTGGGTGGTGTGGGTGGTGCAGGTGGCAGGTGGCAGGTGCTAGGGGCAGACATATGTACACACACAAATTTAAATTTAAATTACGCATACGCCTGGTGGCACACATTTAATGCGCTGTGCAGCCACAGAGGCAACAACAACAAGGGCTTTAAACTAACCGAAGGATAGGGATTGCAGGGGGTGAGAGAAAAGGGGTTGGAGAAAGGAGAAAGCAGCACAGAGAATCAGAGCAGAGAATCTCCAGCAGCAGCCTTAACATAATTCTAGTTCGAAAATGGCTCTCTCCATCTGGAAATCAGTCAGCAGAGAGCTAGTGAGAGTTTTCCAGGACCTCTTTCTCTCTCTCTTGCGGTGTCAGCAGGACACGCTCTCTTTCTCTCTCAGCCAGCTTTCCTGGCTTTGGGGATTCTGCACAGTTTTTCGCAGTTTATATAAGTTTCAACAGGCCAATGTTTTGTTACAAAATTCCACAAAAATAAATAAATATATCAAATTCTAACCATTTTATATTTATAATTAAATAAACTCTTTAAGCATTTAATTATATAATATTTTAAGCTTTGAAACCTAATTTTCCCCAGCTAATAGGTGCGAATTTCCAGCAGAAACATTTGAATTTTCAACTGCGCGCGCCTTTCTCGTCCTTTTTCTCTCTCTTGTTGGCCATTCAGCATTCAGTTCCTTGGCTTTTCTTTTCCAAGTGCCAGATTCCAGTACAAAACACGTTTTTGCACATGGCCCGAACGAAAGTTTGGACTTAACCCCGCCAGTATCGCTGGTATCAGTATCACTGGGCGGCGCTATCACCCATGGTCCAGTTAACCGATTTAAATACCCATTTAAACGGCTTTGGCCAGGGGGTAATGCATATTTATATTAATGATTACTCACCTTTCTGCACCGCAAAACTCTACTAATTAGTCGCAAAGGGCTTGACATTGCGGCCAACCGCAGAGGGAAAACCCATTGGCCGGAACCGAGCCTCAAGACAACGTTTTGTGTCCTTAGTTGCGGTTTGGAGAACAGTTTTGGGTGCAGCACTCCCCATCCTGGGAGCCCCTCGAAAGCCAAAAAGTCGTTGATGGTCCCATCATTGCGGCAATTCGATTATTTTTGCCATATTTGTGGATATTATAATGGTTTTTAAGGGCGGCACTTTGAGGGGGAAATATTATATTGATGGAGGGAAAGTGCTCTTTGCTACGCGACCCTTCAATAAAGTGGTTATCAAAGTTTGCAAGTTATTTTGTAGAATACTAATAATGAATTGTTATATATATTTATTATATTATCGTAGAAACTACTTGTAATATTTTAATATCATAATATTGAGGTAGTGATTGCTAATGTATTATGCAAACTTGCAACCAAATCAAACAAAAATCCAGCTGATAATCAAAAATCAGCAGGCTTAATTAGATGCAGCAAAAGGACCCATAAATATTTGCCACTTTGCTCAAAACCCAATTAAGTCGCAAACGAATGAATGGCAAATAGATGAGCATGCCAAAACACATGCATATTTATGAGATAACTCTATTATGCACAAAGCCACAATGAAGCATTGACCTCCTGAGCCAGCTCTGAACCGAAACTTAAACTTCACCTGGGAACAATAGAGTCAAAGTGCAAGCTTCTTGCGGGTTCCGATTAATTGAATCAATTGTTTAGTCAAGCTGTGTGGGGGTATTTGTATATATTTTCCAAATTGGCTTGCTGAGTGGGCGTAAAACCTTTATCGGTATTTGCTGTTCATCATCGTTGTTGGCTGGCCATAATCTATTTCCATCGAAGATTTCGATTTCGATTTGATGTGTAGGATTTTCGTTATTCTTCCCCGCCATCATCGCCATCATTTTTGTTTCATATACTTGGTGGCAGTGTGTAAATTTGCATTTTACATATAGACACATATCACATAACCTTACGTCATCGAAGGAGCTTATGGGTGATGGTGATGGCATAGGGATTGGTTTTCTATAGCGAGATCCTTTGTCGGCGAAAGAAAATTGTCAAAAGCGGAAGTAGCGTAATTTCATAAATGATTGATTACAAACACTTTACACGCATTCTCACTTATGTACGCCAATCACACACAGCCGCCTTCGCCCACACACACAGATACACATGCATATCCTGCCGCAGGATAACGCTCTCTCTCTCTCTCTCTCTCTATCCCTCTCTTTCTGTCTTCTCTGCCACATATTTGCTTAGGTGTTTGGGCCATAAACGATTTGTTGCTGTTGTCGCCTGGCGACAGCTGACAACACTGAGCTGAATTACACTATAGCCGCGTTTTGTTAGGTCCGCTTTGCACTTCTTTATCCTCCCACCTCGAGGTCCTTCATGTCCTTTCCCCCCTCCCTCTGACACACCCCCTCCCCCTTTGCGGCTGGACACATGTGTGCGACGACAGGCAGGAGAATAACTTTCTGTGTTCCAATAATCTTTTTCCCCCTCCATTTGTTTCCACCTTTTTTTTGCATTGGCATTTGGCTTGGCTTTCCTCCTGCCGGTTATCCTGGTTATCCTCGTCCTCGTCCTGGCCGCCTCCTTCGCAGCTTGCCACTTTGTGCAATCTAGCAATTTATCGAGTTCTGCGTGGGCGCCGCATCTTCCAGATTATAATCCTGCCCAGGGTGAAAGTGGAGGTTGTAGCACTGGAAGCAGCTGGCCCAGGACACCAGATTGATAGATTTCACTTTGCGGTGCACGGTGGATTAGGGAAAAAGTTGATTTAGCCGAGATTCCTGGGCAAGATGGGATCTCCCTGCTGGATTCTATAAATATTCTCGGAAGAAGTTGGCCAGAAAGTCAAATAAATATCTTTTAAATAGGTTTGGACCTTTTTAATGGGTACTATCTGGCCACCTCATTTTTGGTTGATTTAGATTTGGAGGAAAGTCATTCCTAATATGGATAAATGCTGGAAAGTTGCTATACCATCAGATCTAGGTTTTAGATGTTATAATGTATGGCTTTGGAATAAAATTTGTTAGGTATTATAATTAGAAATATGACGTTTTGTAGGTTTGGTATACCATCAGATCTAGACTTTAGATGAAATAATATATGGCTTTGGAATAAAATTTGTTAGGTATTATAATTAGAAATATGACGTTTTGTAGGTTTTAATCATACTAGTTTCGTTTTTTTTATAAAATGGGCTTATCTAAAGTTCTTAACTTTAAATTGTATACCAATTCCAATGGGGTACAGATAAGAAAGCCTTGATAATGGCTACAATTGATGCTTTCACCGCTTACCCAGCAAACGTCATTTAGGTCACATTCCCCACTTCACATTCCCGCATATCCAAGCCATATAAAACTTTCTCCCCTGATTA